AGTAGTTATTTAATAACTCTTCTATAGTAATCTATAATGTAACTATATCAAAAATTACTAATAAAGATACAAGCAAGGCCTTACCTTAAAACCAAAAAAAAAAAAAAAAAAAAAAAGAACTAGACATTTCTCTAATCAAGAGTAGCTACCCTCTTGTGTCGTATAAAATTTGAATAACAAATTACAATGGTTGGGTTATTATTACAGGAGTATAGAAATATTACAAAACTTAAAACTATAATTGAACCAAGTTTTTGGAACCAGGTTTAACCTAGGTTTGGAACTTAGCTTATAAAAACCGAATTCTTAAGTTTGCAATCTAACCATCCCTACGTCTATATACATATATACAGTATATATAATTAATATATACATAGCAAAAAAATGACTTGCATATTTTTAGATGTCTAGTGCGAATTGCTTTATTTTAATATATAAATCTATTCTTAAATATGTTTATAACAAAGTTATATTCAACAATTCTATTTTTATATTGTGTACTATATATTTAAAAGAGAAATTTATTGCAAGTAAAAAAATCTAATGCTAGGACGTAAGATTTCTTAATTTAACATTGTTATAAATATGTTTTAGAATGAATTTATTCTTAAAGAATTGAAAAAAGTAAAGCGATTCGCCCTAGGCATTATATGTAAAAAGTGATAATAAGATGAATTAATTGTCGGGGGAATTATTTATAAACTTTTGAGGAAGTAATAAAAATCTTTAATAAAAAATGTTAACGAAATTAATTATCTTTAATAAAAATCTTTAATAAAAAATGTTAACGAAATTATCTTTAATAAAAATGTTATCTTTAATAAAATGTTAACGAAATTATCTTTAATAAAATGTTAACGAAATTATCTTTAATAAAAATGTTAACAAAATTATCTTTAATGAAAATTATTCTTAATGAAAATTATAAAAATTATCCTTAATAAAAATTATTCTCAATAAAAGTTATCAATAAAAAATTATTGAAAGAACATTTATACTCTCAGTGCAAAATAATCTAGAAAATTTATTAGTTTACACAGTGTTTATACACGGGTATAATTTATTGAATTACATATTCGTGCAACATACTAATCAAACCAATTTTTACAAAAGAAAAATTAGACTCGCGCTTATGGTTAGGGTAAGGTGGTTTTGGGATCGGACAAGGTATAGCTTTTATACCAAAATTTCGCAAGGAATTTTTCGTTAGAAGTCAAAAGGTGGTTTCATAATCAAAATTTTGAGATATCTATATTGCCCGTGTACATACACCCGCGTACAAATAGAAATTGCCAATAATCTAAACCTCGAGAGCAGTGACATGTATTACTTAATATCTATTACTATAAAAGGTTTATCCATCCACCTTCAAAAATATTATCCAACATCTGTCACAACCACCCATTCCAAGAATTTTATTTAAAATTTACTCGCATGAATTTTTTTGCTTTGATGGGATATTCTATATTCGCACTCATTCTATAACTAGCGTTACAGCTTGGGAGAGGCTTTTATTTTTCTTTATCTATTTTTAGCTTTAGGCCATAATCACTAAAGATTGGAAACATTTAACTATTTAAAACTAAATGGTTAACATGGCAAACTATTAAACGATTAGCCTAGTAATCATTAGGATATTAAATAGGTAATTTTATAATCCCTGCACGTGACTTATTCATTTTTCTAGAAAGTAATTTGCAACCGTTAGTAAAAATTATACCCAGAAAATTATAAAAATAAATTTCTAGCAAAATTCACTATTAACATTATAAACTTGGCTGTTCGAGAAATTACCACTAATAACAACCCAGGAAAGTACGCGTAACCAGAGATATAAATTGCGTCATTCATTATTGTTAACTATTATACATACAGTACGTACTAATTTATTATAAATCACATAATAAACCCGTTTTATGTGGAAATAAATAACGAACTTTGTATCTCGTGTTAGCGCTGTAATTATGATTTATTAGCAAATCATTATAACGCGTATGACGTGTTTGAACAAAGTTTATTTAAAATTCTTAATTTTAATGATTAATTTAATTTTTTTTTTTTTTAAACTTGGCAGGAAAGTGTGTACTTTATTAGATATGTCAAGGACATGTTACATGATTGATTGATTTATTTTACAACTTGCTATTTTAGGCCATGTGAATTTAACACTACCCGACATTTACCCGGACAGTGCCCAGGTATGATTAATTTTAATTATTAATTTTAATAATTATTAATTATTAATTTAAACATATTTTCGTTATATATGTAAATTGTCATCCATGACTCTAATAGAAATTGAAATGAATCTAGATTTTAAAACTTTTTTTGATAAAAAATCTAGAATTAATTTTGACGGAGGAACACCATAAATAAGTACAAGAAAAGTTCTTAATATAAAATCGATAGAATTACTAATTGGATCAAAAGGGATAGAAGGATCCAGAGAAAATTCTATGATATAAAAACAGAAATAACATAGCATTAATGAACCTGTCGTTAACATATACCAAGTACCTACGGATGCATTTTTTAAAGTTACAGGATAAACTTTGAAAGTGGCTGTATTTATACTTTCAGAATTTGTATTAGCAATAGTTATTTCTGTAATGGAATTTTCTATCATACCATTTGTTGAATTATTATTTAAACTATCATTGTTATTGCTTGTGTCTTCACTATTGTTTTCAATATTGTTTTCAATATTGTTTTTGATATAAATGTTCTCATTGGTTTTGCTATCATCATTATTGTTTTTGATATAAATGTTCTCATTGGTTTTGCTATCATCATTATTGTTAACAATATTAATAATTATATCATTATTATCAACATTACCATTTGTATTGTTGTCAATGTTAACCTTTATATCATCAAATTTTACTTTTATATCAGAAAGTGTTTTTAAAACTGGTTTAAAGGCATAAAGAAAGGAACACACTCCACTAATCAACCAAAATATGGCTTGAAATATAAAGACCCTTACATCAGGATGTTCTTGAGTTGATGATAAAGTAAAAGTAGTAGTTGTCCAATGTATAATATTCAAGATAATTATCGAAATTATGGTTATTTTACTTAAAATATTCCAATTTGAATCTTGATAAAACCTACGACCCGTGATCAAAAGCGAAGCCCATATTATTGTCGAGTAAAGAGCGGATGATATTTCGTAAAAGCACCAAAAATATGTGCTTGATATGGTGGGAAGTAATACCCGTGCCAAGTTCATTATACAGAGGGCTAAGGTCATTAAGCTTGATATTAGGCTGTTAATTACGTAAAAGAAAGGAATTACGTGAGATAAAAACGTGAGGGTTATATAATTCACGTGATTTAAACTTACCAAGCACTTCTTAAATAAGTAAGTTTTACTATTGTAAAGTATAAAATAAAACAACTCCCAACAAAACTTATTACTACACTTGATACTGTAAAAATTAACTTGGCATCCATTTGACTATTAAGATTTCGTAAAGAGATCTGGTATTAGAAAAGCGATATTTCAAGAAAAGTTTATTATGTATTATAAAGTAATCATATACTGTTATAGGGTCAACAAACATCATTGTACGTACGTTAAGTACATACATACATATGTACGTGCTTTGTGATCCCACCCGTTATGTTTATCATATATTAATTGATAACATTTATCAAAGATAACTATAATTTGATAAGACTATCTTTGAACGCATTTAGATAAAAGTTTATCAGATAAGACTTATCAAATGTGAACATTTGAATCAATCAGAGATGCAGACTTCTTATCATTACGTATACGTACGCATCCACGTAACCGTAATTTAGTATATATTGATATTATATTGATATTGATATAACAACCTTTATTTTAATCCTGCACCTCTAATGCAGTAATAACCTACGTATAGACTTAATGGATCAATTGAATTTTTACACTTTATTTTTTTCGAAGGTGTAACATTTCACTGGTACGTACGTACGTACGTAAAATATTAAGACTGTTTTTCGCATCATAAAAAGTAACAAACTTATTGTCCTATAACCAATGGCACCAAAATTTCTCCGTTTGTTAAAAAAAAATAATTACACGTAATATTTGGCCATCCTCGATAAGTGATTAAAAAAACCAAATTTGGTAAAAACTTTTAGTTAATTTTACTAAGTAAGAGGCCCGGTTCGTTGGATAATTATCCGGATTTTCAATGAATATTCAAATATTCGAATATACAATTTCATTAAATCGAACGTTGATATATCATTATTCGCCAATTAAAATTCAATCAATATTCGATTATATACCTAGTGAGATTTAAGCTCATAGGTTTATTATCAGCGAAGCCAGTTCTTATTCATGTATTAAAATAATAATTTTAGAGTACTGGTACGTATTTCTACACTCTTGTATATGGGTCACTGCGTAACGTTATGAGTATTCGGGGACTTTTGATCAAACTTTGATAATTTATTGGACTATATTCTTGAGTAGATACTCTACCATTAATGCAAGTTTGGTTATATAATATTATATAACAACTTACTACAGTTCTCGTTCAAAGTTTTCAAATTTCTATTTTTATCTTATTAAAATTGATTGAACATCGATATTTCAATTTAAGAATACTCATAACGTTACGCAATAACCCATATGACAAATTATGCATGCATGTACGTACGTATGAGGATGACAGCAATAGAATAATACGATTTAAAAATATACGTACGACCCAAGAGTGTGGAAACAGCATCTCCATAATTTTATTATGTTATAACTACATGACTAAAAACATGGCACTATTTTTAATCTATATTATTGACAAACAACACTCGTATTTGTCTATATGCAATTGATTCAATCTAACCAATACCTAAATTTCTTGCAGGATTTAATTATAGCTTAGTCCCAATCTAATGTTTTAAATATGATTTTAAACATTACATTTTAAAAAATTACGATTTTTATTTAAAAATGTTTTAATACATTATCCCTTACACTGTTTTACAGGCAAATTTTTGCCTGCAACTTTCTGACAAATGCTTTTTTTTTCGATCCAAAATGCCTATTCGAAAGCTTTCTACAAATATCATTTTTGGCAGCATATAGTTTTCTTATCCTCATAAATTTTCGTTTACTTTTTAGGTCTTATAGAATTCATGTAATTTGTACAAGATTTAGCTACTTATTTTTTGATTCACATCAAACTTTGATACATATTATACGTATTAGCGATATCTAAACCTTACGGTATAAGAAGTATAAGAAATAATTTAATTATTTTGATGGTTAAATATTTAAAAAATATACTACTGAAGCTAATAAATTCTTTGGATTACTGCTATAGACCTGTATATTGATAAAATATTAAAATTATTAATATTATTAATATTTTATTTTGGTAAAAAAAAAAAACTAATTTTAACCAATAGATTAAATATAATTTTAAATAAAAATTAAGAAAAAAATCTAAACAATGCCCCCATCCACTTAGTGCTTTCATCGTGTTAGGGTTAAGGTAGTGATTGGACCCGTCCAGAAAAGTGCTAACCGGGTCACCGGGTGGTAAGAGTAATTCTGCTACGGGTTACCCCGGGTGGGTCACCCAGTCACTCGGGTATTAAGAGAAATTTTGCTATGGGTTGCCCGTATGTAGGTCACCTCAATCGTCCGAATAGTAGAATGTATCATATATATAGCATTTTGACACATTTAAAAAATTATCATCAACTCACTCGATGGGTTACCTGCGTGAAAATCAGGTTAGTTTAAACAGTTTAAAAATCATCTACGGATTATTTTAAAAAATTATTTGTAATCATTTATAAGAGAGCTGACACTTATTACGTAAATATAACCCTCAGAGTCAGTTATTTGATACAATTACAAGTTCTAAAATAATCAATCATTTGACAATTGCAAGCTCTAAAATAACCGATAATGTAAAGTTTACACCATGATTCCTTTAGAACTTGTAATTGTCAAATGACTGACTCTGGAGGGGTTATATTTACGTAATAAGTGTCGGTTCCCTAATCTATTATAATCTATATGTGCATATAAGACTAGGGATTAGCTTGCTAGTAATTACACTCATTTATGTTTATAGTTAATTTAATAGTTAAATTCACTAATAATTTGAAGTAATTTAAATTTGTAAATATTAAAATTATATTAATGATTTCGCCCAGTGTCCCAATCAATGTTTAAAATTCGAATTTAATTTTGTGTTCAAAAAAAAACATTTTCTGAATTCTTAATGTTTTCAAAAAAATTTTTAATGCTCTTAGTATTAGAAAATTAAAAAAAAATTAATATTAAAAAATTGGCTAAACGTTCTCAAATAGAGAATATTTTCTAATAATTCATGTTTATAAAATTTGCTAAATATTCTTAGAGAGAATGAGAAAATCAAATTTTAAACACTAGTTCCAATCATTTTGATATTTATTATTTTAAATATTTAAAATTATTTTTGATATTTTTATTTAATTTTATTTAATTTAAAATTATTAAAATGATGTGTAAGCTGATTTTTAGTATAGGTAGACAAATATAAAAATTATAATATAATCTCTATACAGATCTTCTTTTGTAAAAATAAGCAAACTCTAATTAGTTTTATATAATTATATAATACAATAATTAGTTAAATTAAATAATTATAAAATTAAATAAACTAATGCTAATCTATACAAATTAATATTAATTTAAATTAAATATTTAATTATATTTAGCTTATACAAATCAACAATTTTGAGTTATTTGAGTTAATATTTAAATTTATATAGATTAGCAATTACAGATTAGATAATTAGATATTATTTTTTTTGTTAAGAACTAAAAAGCTTTAATTTTAATTAAATATATTTGTATTATTTTTATATTCTTGTAAAATATATTTACTAATATTCTTTTCTTTCTTCCTAATATTTTTTTTTGACTTTTCTATTTGGAATAAATTTTCTGTTTTTGGTAAATATATTTATTTTAAGGGTTTATAATTTAGCACATATGTATTGTAATACACCCACCTGATCGACCAATCAGATCATAGGATCAGGTGTAATATGAAATTGAAAAAATAGCAATGTTTTGAAAAAATCACTTGTAATTTATAATTTTGCTTATAAAACCACCTTTTGCATTTTAACAAAAAAATTTTTTGCAAAATTTTGGATATAACTAATATTTATTTACAATTTAATCTAATCTTATATTAGTGCTAACTCTTATCCTAAATTAATGTATTGCTGGTTTGTTTTGATTTTATATTACACTGGATCTTATAGGGTGTGTCACAACACACATGTGCTAAATTATAAAATTTTTATTTTAATTATTAGTTTTTTTGTAAAATTTATTTACTAATATCTTTTCTTTTTTTAATACTTCTTTCTTAATTTTTTATTCAAATAATTTAAAATTAGATTTTTGGTTTTAAGTAGATATATTTATTTAAATTGTTTGTTTTCTTGTTTATAAAATTTATTTACTAATATCTTTTCTTCTTTTTTAATATATCTCTCTTGGTTTTTTTTATTTACATAATTTAAAATTAGACTTTTAGTTATAAATAGATATATTTACTTCAATTATTAAATTTTTTATAAAATTTATTTACTAATATTAATTTTTTTAATACTTCTCTTTTGATGTTTTTATTTGAATAATTTAAAATTAAACTTTGGTTTTGATTAGATATATTTATTTTAATTATTAATTTTTTTATTTATAAAATTTGTTTATTTATAATCTTTTTTTTTAATATTTCTTTCTTGATTTTTTATTTAAATAATTTAGAATTAGACTTTTAATTCTAAATAAGTATATTTATTATATTTGTTGTTTGGTTTTTTGTTTATAAAATTTGTTTATTAATATTCTTTTTTAAACAAAAATACTATTCCTGATAGATCAGCAATACTGATCTTGATGAAGTTAAAAAAAATTTATTTAAGTATTATTTCTGATAAGGTCTTAAAAATAAACCCTAATCCTAACTTTTTTTATTATAGTAATATAGTATTTTAGAGGCTTTTTTTTATTTTTATTTTTTTGATATTAAGGTGACCCCTTTGGTCAAGTACTTTATTATTGTTTGAATTACTTTTACAACTAGATGATCTACATCCGTTGTATATATATTACTATATACATAACTTCGAACAATTTATTTTAGTAACTATCTTAGAACAATTTTATTCTCAGAGTAAACCTGCTAGAGTCTTCTGTACCCACAATCTAGCTGACCT